TGTGTCGAGTGAGATGGGGCTCAAGGCTGAGCCCACACTCACGACTGCTGTGTTGGACAGCCAGCATCGATTACGGTTAAAAGCACAGATTCTGGAACCAGAATTCCTCCTGGCTGAGCCACCTACTTGCTGGGTGATCTTGGGCAAGTTACCTCTCTGTACCTTGGTTTTCTGGTCTGTTAAAAATGGATGTCCTAATAGACTCTTCTTCACAGTGTTATCATGAGAGTTAAATGGGGTGATAGTTAGAGCCAAGAACAGTGCCTGGCACATAGTAAAATCAGAACAGAAACCTTGTGCTTCAAGCCACGGTGAGAATTTAGGATTTGCAAGGCCACACGGGTGTGGGGGGCTCAGAAGGGATCCCCACACCCTGCAGAAGTCCGTCTGCAGGGTGCTCTAGCTCAGAGTTACCCAGGCTGGGCTAGAGGCAAGAGAGCTCTTAGACCCCCAGACACAGTGTAACCCTCATAGATGGGTGTTCAGTCCCCCACACCGGGGTGCTTATCTCCCAGGAGGAAATCAGAAATGGGGATGTGAGACCCTCAGAGTCAGTGTGGACTAAATAAATCAATGACAGAACAAGTTCTCAACCACTAGAGTGTGTTATTAATAGAATATGGGGCATAAGGGAAAATGTGATTAATTGCGAGATGATTGCCGTGGCTGCTGCACGGCGTGGCAGCGAGGACCTCGATTTTTCCAAGGCAAAGTCTTTTCTTCACATACCAGCTTTCATTTGTCGGCATGTGGGTAGAGGCAATTGAATGAATGGATATTTTCCTAAGTCAGTATTTCAAAGACAGGATAAACCAAAAAATCCACAGCCATCGAGTCAATTCCAACTCATAGCAATCCTACAGGAAAGAGTAGAACTGCCCCATAGGGTTTCCAAGGAGTGGCTGGGGGATTCGAACTGCTGACCTTTTGGTTAGCAGCCCAGCTCTTAACCGCTGCACCACCAGGGCTCCAAAGACAGGATAGGGTTGGGTATCATGGGAGTCCTCTATGAGTGAGGGATGAGTGAACCCCTTTATCAGTAGGTGAGCAAGTCCCTGATGCGAAGCTCTGGTAAAGTCTAGAAAGGAGAATGCAGCTTAAGGCAGAAGGCCCCAGTGGGCTTCATCCTCCTTCACCTCCAGTCGAAATGCCTGGATCAGCCCCTCACACAACCGTTTTCCTGGAGGAGAAAGGCCTGGCTGCCCTGTCACCACCTGGTCCAGAGAGGGTACGTGTGGCCAGGTGCACTTGGAGGTTGGGTGGACACTGCCCAGGGTGCATTACTGCTCCAAGACAGAAAGCAGGGGAGAGCCTGCTGCCACCTCTGGGCACAGAGGAGAGAAAAAGGTTGGTGGGCCTGGTGCTGACCTTGTTGTTGGTGTTAGCTGCTATCGAGTCAGCCCCCAGCTCCTGGCGACCCCACACACAGCGGGGCGAAATGCTGCCCAATCCCGCACCATCCCCATGGTCAGCTGCAGATCAGACCGTTGTGATCCGTAGGGTTTTCACTGGCTGGTTTTTCAGAAGGACATGACCAGGCCTTTCTTCCTAGTCTGTCTTGTCCGGAAGCATCGTAACAACATGCAAGTCTCCACTGATGGACAGGTGGTGGCTGCACATGAAGTGCATCAGCTGAGGCTCAAACCCAAGTCTCCCACATGGAGGGCGAGGATTCTACCACTGGACCACCAGTGCCCTGTGGTCCTGGCCTTGCCCCATTGCCACTGAGTTGATACTGACTCATGGTGACCCTGTAGGACAGAGTAGAACTGCCTCATAGGGTTTCCAAGGTTGTAATCTTTCCGGAAGCAGACTGCCCCATCTTTCTCCCGAGGAGTGGCTGATGTGTTCAAACTGCTGACCTTCCAGTTAGCAGCTAAGTGCTTAACCTCTGTGCCACTAGGGCCTAGTAACTCTGCCCACTTGAAAAGCAGGTGCCAAGAATGGTTATAATCTCTGAACAATCATCTTAGCCACCCCTTCTTCCTCAGGGGGGACCAGGTAAAGGGGAGGCGACAGGTGTGAGTGGAGGATCCCTTCTGTACGAGCTGAGATGGAAACATGAGTAAGAAGAATTAGAAACGGAAGGTCCAGGCGCACAGGAACAGAGAAGCTGGGTGTGTGGCTAGCCTTGGGTCAGGAGAGCAGGGTCTCGGCAGCACCTTGGCTGGCCAGCCTCGCAGAAGCACCTCCCATGGAGCCACGGGGATAGTGCCTACTTCACAGGGTTTCAGGGAGGATCAAAACCATGGTCATTAACATGTGAATACTCTGAAATGTAAGAGATTGGGTTTCAATACCAGATTGCACACTTCTGTGGAACTCTTGTCAGACACTCCCCCGAAAGCCCACTTCATGAAACAAACAAAAGCAGAGCGGCTGTATGTGTAATGGGGTGTGGGGACCTTACCCTTTGTAGTCTCCCCTGAGGACCAGACTCAGGGAAGTGTGAGAGGAAATCCCCTGGGATTGTAGGGAGGCTCAGCTCTGCCCCCAGCTGGCCGTGGGGCCTCAAAACAAGTCATTTAAGCATTCTGAACCTCAGTTTCCCCGTCAATCAAATGGACAGATCAGACTGGATCAAAGAGTTCTTCATCCAGGTTCTGTGAGTGGGAGCTTAAGAGGTCTTTGACATCCTAGAGACGTGTAGTATTTTGGGTTGTTTTCCTGGAGAGACAGGATGTAATTTTGTTTCATTGGCTTCTTAGAAGTGTCATGTTCACCCAGACATGAAGGAGCACTGTATTGATTTCTGAGGCCTCTTCCTGTTCTGTTATTCAGTTATTTCTGTTTTAAGTGACAGAATTGCCCCAGCTTAAGCTGCAAAAGGACGTTAATGGCTCAGGGACCTGAAAATCTCAGAGCTGGCCTGACTGGATTTGATCTCAGGTATTCTCCTCAGGAATCCCCCCCTCTGCATTTCTGGGCTCTGCCTCTCTTGGCTTTGGCTTCATTCCCTTTGGGTGGGAAAGCAGCCCTCAGCAGCCCCTGCCTCACATCACAACCCTCTCCCGCAGTCCTTCCAGCCACATTCCCTGGGCTGACTCTGATTGGCCCTGCTTGGCTCACATGTCCCTCCTGGAACCAATCCCTGAGGCTGAGGGGAGGGAACGTTCAGGCTGGTTCTCTCATCTGGGATTGCGTTTCTTGGTATGAACTGTGGGAACCGGGCGCTCAGCCCCGTGACTGAAACTTAGCGGCAGGTGGGCTGGGGCTGTTTCTCCGGTGGGTGTGCTGGATTACTGAGGCACCTCCAAGAGCGTCCGTCCTTCCCAGGTGGTATGAAGTGGGGCTGCAGGACTTCTGGAGTTCTGACTGAATTTCTGGCCCCATAGCCGACCTTTGCTGCTATTTCTACAACCTCTCAGCAGCGTCCTCTGCCCTGTGGCCCTTCCCATTACGTGAGGGTCCCCACGCTGACAGACATCCACGACCTTCTCCGGTTGGTAGGAAGTGGGTTCCCGGCTCAAAGAGACTTGGCATCGCCGCACATCACTGACGTCTGCCCTTAAAGAACCATGTGCATCCCTCCAGAGGAAGGAAGGGGGGACAAAATCAGAGTGGCAGAAAAACAACCTCCGTCGCAGTTTACAAGGCAGCTATTAGAATTTTACAGGAGCTTTATTGCAGAGGTTTCCTGCT